TTTTTTTTCCCCCTTTTTTTCCTCCCCCCTTTCTTTCTAATGCATAGTGATTTAAGCTTGCAATGGTCAGTCTTCTTGCCATCCTTTCATCCTCAGCTAATTCATTGCTGCTCAGCTGCAGTATTTCTTTACATGCTATGGAACATTCATTGTCTCAGGGTCCCTCCTCTTCAGTCCCTCACCTGCTTTCTTTGGCCATTTTCCTCATTGAGGAGATTACTTTTGAAGGAACCAATAATGATCAGCAGCAATTCCCATTGTAAAAAATCATGAGCATTTCAACTGCAATTTAGAATTACTGTTATTTTACCAGTTTTCAGTTTTGTAGCGGAACGCTTCAACATTCTGTGTTGCCTTTTTTTTAGGCTGTCAGATTAAAGGCTAATCACAGTAAACAGCAAATTAGGCAAAAAATTTTCTGAAAAAAAAGAATTCCTGTACAGTCAAGCAGAGTGATTAAGAACCTCGCTGATTGTTGAGATTTTATACGCTAACGTGCTGAATCATAAAATACGTATTTTGGAAATAGGCCAATTAAACTTGCTGTTCCAGTTTAGACTATTCCCTCTCCCAAAGTGTTTTCAGAAGAGCTCTGACAGGTCTAGAATGTATTTGAGCTGTGTTTAAGAATACTTTTTTGTCAGTTGAGTCATCAGTGAGTCGTACACCTCCCGTACAGGGAGGGTATGCTACCCACTGCTCACTTATTCCTGTGGTACACACTGATAGATAGACAGCTTCTTAAATTTCAAATCATGCTTGCCTGGTGAGAATGGAAATACTTTACACAAACCAGGCACCAGTAGGATCTTATTCATGCTCTTACAAAGGCAGTAATATGTATAATCCATGTTGAAAATGCTGGTGTTAGCAGCAATAGCCATTTTAAATCTAGAGATGTTAAAAGTGTAGATGGATTCTTATTTATTGGCAAAGCCTGTTGAAGTATAGAAGAATGCACAAAGAGCAGTGGATAATCTTACCACATGCCTCAAGCAATATATTTAAGTAATAATTTAAAGTGTTTTCCACATGTCTAGAACAAGCCTCTATTTCAAAAAGACTATTTGAAATTATGTTCATCCTCTTATCTGCCATCTGTACTTCCAGATCTGGGAAAAATGCAGCATTTTTTGAGAGCATCCAACTCTCAACTGGTGCAGAACAGCATCCTGGTAAAAATCACCTCCAGCAAGTTGGCTGAGGCTTCTCTAGTGACAGTGATGTTATATGGCTATTGTCAAGAACAGGCCTTTTTGGAGCTTAAACTAGACATCTTTTACATTATTATTTTTTACATCTGGTGATTTGAAACAATGGTAAATATTGTTAAAAGGAAAGTTGGTATCCAGGCTATTTTAAGCAGGAAATGGACTGAGTTAAAATGCCTTGGTGGCTACCTGTGTTGTTTTCCAGGAGCCACACAGCCTCAATTAACCACAGCCTAGGTAGGCAGTTTCCAAAGGATACTGTGTCTGACCCTTGGTATAGTTGCCTGATGGAGTCTAACTGAAGAATTAAGCTGGAATGGGGAAAAAAACAAAAAAAAGAAAAAAGATAGTATCTTTAGAACCTCTAGAAAAAATTCTCTATAGAAACAAGCCAATGAAAATAAACAGCATCAATTTGGATGCCATTTCCTTTATTAACTTTGATCTACATATGTAAAATGGCTCTTTGTTCAGCACATATTGAATGCATTATTAAAAAGCCCTTAAAAACAATGCTCATGTGAATGTTCTTACTTATAACAAAAAAAATTATTATTGAATTAAGCAGCAAGGTTTGCTTTTGTTTGGTTCCTAAAAGTAATATTCCTTTAAACTTATTCTCTCTTCTTGGCTTAAGTAGTACCAAGGCACTAAAGTCATTTAACAAGTAGGGAGCACGTTTGTGTGGTTTGCATTTAAAGCATTTCAGTCCCCTCACTGGAGCAAGTAGGTACAGTTGAATTATGGCCAGCCTTCTCCAAGGGGCAAAGATTGTCCCAAAGAGCTGTATTTGACTCCCGTTGGTTTCAGGGAGCGCTCTGCGAAAGCGCTACACTTGGCCTGATGATCCACTATCTAAATATTTATATTTAGTGACATTGGCTAAAAAGCACTGAATTCTTCTGGTTAATTTTCATAAGATCGTGGGGTCGACATCTGGGTCGTGTTTTCTTTGGTCCGGGTTTGAACGGAGATACTGCATACAGATTTTGTTACACAGGTTTCAAGAGCAAAACATACGTTAGGCCTCCATCAGCCCAAAGGAGGAGTGGGCTGCTACAAGAATTCGTTTGAAACAGGTTTTTGTGCATATCTGAATTGTGAAGAACCTTGATGTGTAGAGAGGAGTGACAGTTTATAGCAAAGGAAAGTAAGCAGGTCCAGAGAGGTAATTCTTCCACTTTGCTCTGGTGAGACCTCACCTGGAGTATTGTGTGCGGGTCTGGAGCCCTCAACATAAGAAGGACATGGACCTGATGGAGAGGGTCCAGAGGAGGGCCACGAGGATGATCATGGGGATGGAGCACCTCTGCTACGAGGACAGGCTGAGGGAGCTGGGGTTGTTCAGCCTGGAGAAGAGGAGGCTCCGGGGAGACCTAATAGCAGCCTTCCAGTACCTGAAGGGGCTACAGGAAGGCTGGGGAGAACCTGTTTAGAAAGGCCTGCAGTGACAGGACGAGGGGAAATGGCTTCAAGCTGGAGGGGAACAGATTTAGATTGGAGATTAGGAGAGGGTTCTTCACTGTGAGGGTGGTGGAGCACTGGAACAGGTTGCCCAGGGAGGTGGTTGAGGCCCCATCCCTGGAGATATTCAAGGTGAGGCTCGACGAGGCCCTGGGCAACCTGGTCTAGTTGGGGGTGTCCCTGCTGACTGCGGGGAGGTCGGACTAGATGGCCTTTGGAGGTCCCTTCCGGCCTGGGCAATTCTATGATTATAGCTATCTATTGCTCATTGTTTCTTTAATGTTCCCCTCGTGCCTCGCTGTAGGTGAGCAGTGTCACTGCTACACCTGAAAATATCCCTGGGAATGAATCAATCAATCAATTAATCAATCAGTAGAGCTGTGCAATGAGCGTTGCACAGTTGATTCTCCAGCCCACAAACTGATCGTTGAAAGCGATGCTGCCTTCTTTTCAGCTGACATCATTACAATCTAGACTATTGCAGAAGATGTTGGTGGCGAAAGAATGCGAATAGGTCTTCATTAATTTGCACAAGTGCACATCGTAACCAATTAAATTACGTGTTACTAATTTTGCTGCCTTTATGAGCTCAGACATTTCAGAATCAAGCATAAAATTAAACCTGAGATTCTTTCTCACCGTCCTGCCATCTCCTTTGGATTAATGCAACGGCATCTTATTTGAAATCTTAACAGCTTTAATAATCTGCATAAATAAATATGATTTTTTTAGCATTTACTAATAATTAAATATTAAAATAAACTTTTAAAAGTGTCTGGTTTTTAACCTATCAGCGTTGAACTGCGTCTGAACGACTGAGACCCTGAGACTGTTGTTTGGTTTTTCTTGCAGTTTGGTGACTCTCAGCAGCTGCGTCTTGTTCGGATCCTAAGAAGTACGGTCATGGTTCGTGTTGGAGGTGGCTGGATGGCACTTGATGAGTTCTTGGTGAAAAATGATCCTTGCAGGGGTATGTAACACCACTGGTAAAATGGGCACGCAGATAACTGTTTGCATATAGTTACCATTTGTTGGTATTTGTTGGTTACCATATGGTAACCATATAGTTACCATAGTTAACATTTGTCTCAAGAAGGAGATTGAATTGTATAAAATGCCAGTTCTGTAAACATCATCTCACTAAATGTCACATAATGATCCGTTTTTGTAAACTTTAAATCCCATGGTAAAGGTCCTCTTCGTTAGCACTGATATGTAGAATAACTGTGGTGTCTTCTGGGCAGTTTCTCTGGCATTAGAGCGGTGTAATTAAGAATTGAACTTAGCCCAGATAGAGTTTATGGCGTGTAAGCTGCTTGTATGACTTGGCAGAAATAGCACACAGAAATGTCCAATAAAACCACCTCGGCAAGAGAGAAGTTTTAAGGCAATAAATCAAAATAAGGCAATTGAATCGAAGAGTAACAATGACAACACCAAAAAAAAAACCCTTCTCTGGCCAGTGGCTGCGCCCAGGCTTTCAGGCTCTGTCTGTGGAGCCCTGTCTTTTCCTTGGCATCCTCCCCAGAACCACTTTGTGGAGCCCTGAGCCCTGTACAAAGCTCTGGTCAGGAGGACTTCGTGCTTTGGGGAAGCAGGGAGCGCTCTGTCACCGTGCCCTCCAGGGCTTTGGATCAAGTGCATGGTTTTATCAGTACACAGCAACAGAATGACATCTTGGTTGGTCAGAAAGCCTACTTCTGTAGTGGGAGAGTGTGCTCTGTCTGGCATCGTTCTTGGAGGAACAGTTGGAGATAGTAAAGAAGCCATTTGTGAAAGGAGCTGGAGAGATACAAGCCAAATAATAGCCAGAGTAGTGAAGTTGCAGAAAGTATAATAATGACTGTATTCAGAGTGAGCTGACGGTCTGTAACTCGGTAATTCTGTCCTATTAACCAGCAGCATTAAGTGTACTGTGTTTTTTACCTCCCAGGAGTTCTGTAGAATCATAATCAATATTGGAATAGCACAGGAACAGCACAGGGGAGTTTAGGAGAGGCCAGTGAGGCAGTGAAAGCAGAGACATCAAGTGTCCTGTAGACCTTAGCCCAGTGTCAGCTGGCTCACCCAGCTTCTACTTTGGGACCAAGATTTCCAAACAGTTTGGCACAGACCTCGAGAGGGTGAAGAGCTTGTATTCGTAGCAATTGTCATGATGTTAAATCCAAAAAGGAGTTACCACAAAACCTGGTGAGGGCCGACAGCGTGCCACTAAGGCCTAGAAACCTTTGCCAACAAGCTTAAAAGGTAAAACTTCTTACCATAGTATCATAACAGAGCTGTCATAAACTTGTGAGGACACCTCTGAGTTTTTCAGCAGTGTTAAAAATAGTCCTTTTGCTTACCAACATATTGCATATATTGTTTACTGAAGGAATGTAGCAGTAATGGTACGTTTATTGGCGTTGGACCACGGGTCTAACTGAGATTTAGCACCTGGTTCTGCACCTGCTGCTATAGGAAAGTCATTTGTGCCTGCAGAGCCATCCTTACTTCATAGCTTTCTATTCCTGCTCCTCAAAAGCGCACAGTAGTTGAAAAGGAAATGTGCCTCAAAATATCTGACTTCATTGAAGTCTTAACTTGGTTAGTTTTGATGTATCCCCAACGTTTTTCTCAGGCCTGTTGACAGGTAGACTGTTGCAATTCCTACTTGGGTTGACCCTGAGAGATACAATACTTAATAACCATCTAATTAATTTATTAGAATTCCTTATTACTGTCCTCAGATTAAGAGTCCTTTGGAACTTTATCCCTTCTTCTTTAATAAACCTTGGATCCTATATATCTCTCTAGTATTTTCTGTAGTGCCTTATCCCTTTGTCATGGGAAATACATGAGCAGATGAGTAAGTCAGCACAAGCTCTGTGTAATCACCCAGACACTGGACGTTGTGCATTGGTACCCAATCCTGCTCCTGTTGGAGCCACTGATGCAGAGTAGTCACTCGTGGTAGTGGTCCAGGTTCAGACTTTCCCTTAAGCTAATCTGCATTTCCACTGAGGGCTTCTCATGTATTCAGACGAGTCATCTGTCAAGAACTGTTGTCATAAACAGCTTTAAAAGTAATGGACCTAGTGATACAAAATAATTTTAGCTCCTATTGCTTCTTTATGTCAGCAGATAAATACACAAGTGTACTTGGGACTGCAGCTGAGTCTGTCCAAGGACTGTTTCCTTTTTGCCTAGGAGACCTTTGAGAACTCCCCTCGGAGCACTTAGAGACAGCTTTTGCTCTGAGTCCTGTCTTTTGGCCTGGTGCTCTGAGTCCCTTGCATATGCAGCTGCTGTACTTAATTTCTTCTCCTGCTAACGATTTTCTTTAATGTGACCCATGTCCTGTGTCATTTTTTCTAGTTCATCATCACGGGAGTAAAATGTTACGTTCGGAATCAAACTCTTCAATTACCACTCAGCCTACTATAGGTTGGCAAACCCCTCTCTTTGTCTCCTTCTCCTCCTCTTCTCCTCTCTCTTCATTTCCTCCCCACTTTATTACAATATATACTTTTAACAATATGCTACACCCATCCCATTTAGCTTAACGTGTTCCTACATGGGCTGGTGCTTTGCAAGCTAATTTTTTTTGACACGCTTAAGAGTGTTTCAAAACCAATTGTCACTCCCACTGACACAGTTAAATGCTAACATGTCTTGCATTTATTCCTGCAGAACATTCTCTCATACGTGTGTTTGTATGTGTGTGTGTGAGTGCTTAGCCACCCATTACCTCATCACAGTTTGGATTTTCTGTTCATCATTGCATGTTGCCAAACTACATCACTTCAGCGTTTTGAATAAATATATTTGCTGCTTTCCTGTAATTTCTACTTAGCAATTTCTTCTGGAACATCCAAGCAAGTATTATTTATTATGAATAGCCGTAGAGTTAGCAAAACTGCTCGTCAGGTTGTGTCTATGTATTAATAGTTGATTGATTAACAATGATTTAGCACGTTGAGCATCCCATTATCACGCTGACTTCCTTTGACAGTGGTTCATTCCTGCTGGCATCAAGTATTAGAATAAACGAGTTCTGCACATAACTCTTCTGTGTCCAAAAATAAATGCATTATGATGTAATGCATTTTATTTATTGTTAAAATATGTTGGAGTTGGCATGGCAAAAATGACAATAAACAGCCTGGTGACAATTTTCCTGTTTGACTAAATCAGCACCTGTCTTTGCTGCAGCTAAAGGGAGGACGAACGTGGAGCTGCGGGAGAAGTTCATTTTGGCAGATGGTGCCAGTCAGAGCATGGCAGCTTTCCGACCACGGGGCCGCAGGTCACGACCCTCCTCAAGGGGGGCTTCTCCCAACAGATCTACTTCTCTGTCAAGCCAAGCTGGCCAGGCAGCAGCCCCACAAGCAGTTGCTACAAGTACACCAAAGGTAAGCACAAATGTACAACACTGCGCTGGTTAACAAATGGGGTATAGCCTGGTTTTGGTTTTTTGCTCCAGCAGTATTGGTGCTTTCCCTAGCTTCCCTGCAGTTGCTACAAGTACACCAAAGGTAAGCACAAATGTACAACACTGCGCTGGTTAACAAATGGGGTATAGCCTGGTTTTGGTTTTTTGCTCCAGCAGTATTGGTGCTTTCCCTAGCTTCCCTAGGGAAGAAGTATCTCAATTTTATTTGATAGTCTAGAGAGGATCTGAGGAGTCTGTTCAGTGTATTTCCCCTACTGTTTGTTTGCAACATGGGAATAGGAGACTTCTTTACATTTAAGCTAACTGGCAATTTGGGATTTGCTCTGAAAGAGCAATGAACCTCTCCTTTTCATTTAAAAAATAAGCTCTGCCATCGCTTCATTTCAGAACATGTGTCATCAACTCTTTCTGCTTAGTTTTTATTTCTACTATGACATTTGATCTCCTTGTGAAAGCCTGGATATCCTTCTTGGTGACATTGTTTTCCATCTCCTGTCCTTCATATTCTGATTTACCATTGTTTCATACAGACACCCCATCATTTAACACGCAACTATGGTAAACCATGGTTGACAAACAGCAAAACGTCAACTCCTTCTAAGCCACCAGAATCCTCAGACTATCAAGGGTCATCTGCAGAGGTACAGTAAGGACAGAGATTCTAGTCTAATGGCCTTCCTTCACTAAAACTGCCACTTCACTAACAGCCACTAGAGTTACAGTGCTTCAGAGCTGCAGCATCCTTGGCATATTAATGCATTGTGTTTATTTGTCAAATTATTTCTTTCCTTTTTTTTTTTTTTTTCCCAAGTCTTTTTTTTTTTATATTCTGTTTGTTATGGTTTTCAACTTGTAGCTTTTTTTTTTTTTTTTCCCCAAGTCTTTTTTTTTCTGATGTTCTGTTTGTTACGGTTTTCAACTTTAAGGAAAACTCAGCCTCAGTGAACTTAAGTTTAAAGTGCAAATGGTTAATAAATCATAATAGCATGCGATGAACTGGATGAGTAAATGTGGGAAATTACTTTTTCTTTTTAATAAAGCAGTTTATACTTTGCAGTATATAAAATTCTTTTCTATATATATTTTTAATATACATATTTCTATATATATTTTAATATATATTTCTTATATATATATCTTTCCTAAAATTGTTTACTTTAAGTTCATAATGTACTGTAATATTAATGGACTGGAGATTAATAAATCTCCTTTGATGAAGGAGATTAATAAATTACGATCTCCGGTGCAAAACCACTAAATAAAGAAATACCCCATCACAGCAAAGAAGACAGCACAAAAGGCTGACTGTGATCCAGAAATCTGTCCAACAACCCAAAGTTTTGTTTCGGGGGGGTAGTGACCAATGGTTGCTCTAATCAGATAGTTATTTGATGACCTAACAGGAAACGAGCTTCGGTTTTATTTCCAGCCCATGACTTCCATAGAAACTGCTAGTACAGTAATTAGGATTTTGTACAGTAATTAGGATTTTGCTGGCAATCAAGCCGTACGACCCAAATGTGAATGGGCTTGGGCCCAGAGTGTGTCTCCTCTCAGGTCCCTACAGAAGAGACTCCAGCTGGATGGGGCTGTGAACTGACTTGTCACTTGTAGGGGTAGCTCCTGCCACCATCACCTCTCTCTGTTCCTGCTTTTCACCTGCCTTTTTCACGCTTCGGTGCCTGTTGCTGGTCCCAGGACACCCTGGGTGCTGGGTTTGTGTGACCTCAGCAGGGCTTTGCTCAAAGGTCCATAACCAACTTCCCTCTCCCTCCTCCTGTGCGTTATGGTGCACACTGCAGGCATGTGTATGGTGTGGGCACAGCACTTCAAGCACACGGGGCCGTTGCTTAGAGCCATTAACCATAGCACAGAGTTGAGTCAGTTGGCAGTTTCTCATCTATTCCTGTATTTTCTTTCATCTCTTAGCTGGTAACTGAATCGTTAAGATTAATTGATGGTACTTTGAACGGTTCGTATGGCACGGAAAGGTGGTGTTTTCATGGAATTACAAGGAGGTGAAAGCAGTTGGCATTGGTTTCAAGGGGGGACACTGTATTTCTCACCTGCTTTTTCAACTGCCAGTAGTTTCAGTGAGTTTCTTTCACGTAAGCAGCCACGGTTTAAGGTTATAAATGGAATGATTGGGTGGGGTAGGTTGCAGTGAATCTCTGAGGCATTCTGCAGCATCTTCTGCCCAAGTGAGCAGTTGTGTATTTTGTCTAAACATTTGGGTTTAGGGCTAAACTGAAGAACAATCTGGATCTCTTTTTCTTCTTGCACCACTGATTCTATCCCCATGCCTTGCCCAAAGTGCAGCCACTTCAGGGGGAGCAAGGAAGAGTGTTCCCCTTCTCCTTACCCCCCCCAGGCAGTCTCTGCAGAGCAGAGATTTCCAAGGTGTGGCTGGCTGGTTGATAAGCACTTCTACTTGGCTTTGAAGAGAGTTTCACAGTGTGACCATCCCCGTCAGAGCCAGCAGATTGTCTGCTCTGTGACATCTCAACGCTCTTTGGTTCAGATGTGCCAGAGGTGGTCCCAGCTGGGGGCTGCAGGTCTCTGCTCCGTGCTTAGCTCTAGGCAGCTCCCAGCACACTCCCCTGGATTTTGGTTTTCCATCCCTAATTCCACCCCACCACTGCGTGGGGATCAAAGGCACAGAGCACAGGATCCTGGGTTCCAGGCCTCTCAACGTGCCACATCCATCACTGCAGTGTTTGTTCTTCTTTTGGGATATTGACGTGGCATTTTTGTGTTGAGTAAATGAATATGAATACTGTAGTTTTCCTCTTATTTGCATACACCTCCTATCTAGTATGTTACATGCATTTTGAGATTTGAGGATTTAATTCTTGTGGCTTTGAAAGAAATCTTGCCATTCGGGGCAGACTGTAAATCAAGACTTATTTTGTTTTAGGAATGAGAAAGCAGGCAGGGTAAGACTATGGAGTAGAGAAATTTCCGATAATATATTGACAACAAGAACTTTTAAAATTAGTCCTATGTCTGTTGTTTTTTCTTTCTTTTTTTTTTCCCCCTAGCAAAGTGTTTTGAAATTTGGTAGGTTTGTTTTACCATCAAAATACTTACAGAATTGAAACCAGTACATTCACCACCTCAACTACTTGTCTCTGTTTATTTGTCATGTACCATCAACTAATCTTACGTGCTTGAACTAATTCTGAGCAGGTAGCATTGTTCTTTCTGTATATGCATTGAAATACACACAAAGAATGCTAAAATGTTTCTGTCAGGCAGACTGTTAAAGTGGTTGTTCCGTTGTTGTTGTAGTTGTACATTTGGACTATTTCAAGCACTAACTGCTAAAGGAACAGTCAGAACTTCACATCATGAAAGTTGTCCATAGTGACTCAGACCTGTATTTCAGATTCGCTGTGAAGGTTGTTCTGATGACTGTATTCTAAGCTCTGTGCTACCTAAAGCCAGACCTTTTCTTCAGTAGTGACAACTGGGAAAAAACTTACTTTTTTTTCTCTTTTTTTTAATCTTTTTTTTTTCGCTTTTTTTTCCTCCTTTTTTTCTCTTTTTTTTTTCTTTTTTTCCTCTTTCTTCTCTCTTTATCTCTCTTTCTTCTCTCTTTCTTCTCTCTTCTCTTTCTCTCTTCTCTTTCTCTCTTCTCTTTCTCTCTTCTCTTTCTCTCTTCTCTTTCTCTCTCTTTCTTCTCTCTTCTCTTTCTCTCTCTTTCTTTTTCTCTTTTTTCTCTTTCTCTGTTTCTCTCTTTCTCTCTCTCTCTCTGTTTCTTTCTCTCTCTCTCTGTTTCTCTCTCTCTCTCTCTCTCTCTTTCTCTCTCTCTCTCTCTCTCTCTTTCTCTCTCTCTCTCTCTCTCTCTTTCTCTCTCTCTCTCTCTCTCTCTTTCTCTCTCTCTCTCTCTCTCTCTTTCTCTCTCTCTCTCTCTCTCTCTTTCTCTCTCTCTCTCTCTCTCTCTTTCTCTCTCTCTCTCTCTCTCTCTTTCTCTCTCTCTCTCTCTCTCTCTTTCTCTCTCTCTCTCTCTTTTTTCCTTTTTCATAGGGAACACCAATTCAAGGAAGTAAACTCAGAATGCCAGGATACCTATCAGGGAAGGGGTTCCACTCCGGAGAGGACAGCGGCATCCTGTCAACAGCAGCTACCAGAGTTAGAGCTCAGTTTGCAGGTGAGTGTCTGGACTCCTTGCTTTTATTTTCCACCTGACTACTTCGGGTCACATTAGCGTGTGAGGGAGATGTCACAAGAATGAGAAGGGGTGAAAGTCCTCCTGTCTCCACATTAGTGTTGCCAAGGGCACACATCATCAGGACAATGGTCCTCCATTGATACGGTTGCACAGCAGGTACGTTCAGCTCTGGATGTGCAAATCCATGACTGCAACCTTCTTGACAATGGTATCTCCAACGTCTCTGCCTAAGGAACATGGGAAGAAGCACTTCAAAAGAAAGGGTTCAGTTCTTCACAGTGTGTTCAACTGTGAATGGAGCAAAGGGGTCACTCAGTCATGACTTGTCCATTTTTTTTGAAAGAAGAACTGCAGGGAGCAGCTGGAGATGACCTTATTAATAGAATATCCCATAGAGATTTTTAAAACAGTATATGAAAATAGAAAGCAGTGAAGCTGTGCTCTTCCAGGGCCCTCAGAGCAGCTCGGTGTAAGGGAGAGGGCAGAACAGAAGACAGCTCTACTGGCTTTCCCTCACATCTTAGGCTCTGCAGAGCACACTGAGCAGTACTGGAAAATCCTGTTCAAAGACTAGATGTCTTTTAAGTTACAGGTGATTTAAAAAATGAGCCACCTGGGATTTCAGTTTCAACTTGGTGTTCTTCACACATACAGGGAACCGGATTTGTCAAGATCAAAGAGATTCGATAAGTAAATGGAAAATTATGAAAAAAACACATAAGTGTTTTTCTGTTAAGATTCTTTGTTGTGGTTTTTATTTTGTGGCAGGTTGTCTGGGCAAGCTTTCACTTTAGCAGGCCTGCTGTGAGCTCATGTACTCAGCCCTTTGTGTAGGAGAATGTATACTCTGACCATGTTTACTTGCAGCTTTCAACCATATGGTTTTGATTTTTTTTAAAAAGAAGGGTACACATTTAAGAATTGGGATATTCGTCTGCATCTCCCAGGTATGTATATTGGGAAGTCCTGAATGCATGAAGGAGCCAGATCCTGAATTCTTTCAAGTCATAGCTGAGAAAATGGCAGGGGAAAGAAAGGATCTGGCTGTTCAGTGAATGGTCAGTGCAGGTCTGGCAAATCGAGAAGAGTTGCCAGGGTAATACATTTGCAATGAGATGTGCTGGTGACTAACTGTGTCTCAGCATTTGATCTCACCTTTCCTTCTCTGTAGTGGGAGATACAGCCTTGTTCTATGCTCTTGTTTAATATCAAGATGAGCTTTGATCATTGATTGGATCACTGGGCCAATGCCAATGGCATGAGTTTCAACAAGGGCAAGTGTAAGGTCCTGCACTTGGGCCACAACAACCCCCTGCAGCGCTACAGGCTGGGGGAAGTGTGGCTGGAGCTGCCTGGAGGAAAGAGACCTGGGGGTTCTGAATATGAGCTGTCAGTGTGCCCAGGGGGGCAAGAAAGCCAATGGCATCCTGGCTTGTATCAAAAATAGTGTGACCAGCAGAAGCAGGGAGGTGATTGTGCCCCTGTACTCAGCACTGGTGAGGCCACACCTCGAGTTTTGGCCGCCTCAATCCAAGAGAGATCTGGAGGTGCTGGAGCGGGTGCAGAGGAGGGCAACAAAGCTGGTGAGGGGGCTGGAGAACAAATCGTATGAGGAGCTGCTGAGGGAGTTGGGGCTGTTTAGTTTGAGGAAGAGGAGGTTGAGGGGAGACCTCATCACTCTCTACAACTACTTGAAAGGACATTGTAGAGAGGTTGGGGCTGGTCTCTTCTCACAGGTAATTAAGGACAGAACGAGAGGGAACGGCTTCAAGCTCCAACAGGGGAGGTTTAGACTGAACATTAGGAAGGAATTTTTCACCGAAAGAGTGGTCAGACACTGGAACAGGCTGCCCAGGGAGGGGGTGGAGTCACCATCACTGGCTGTGTTTAAGGGCCATTTGGATGCAGTGCTGAGGGACATGGTGTAGGGGATGACTTTGTAGAGTAGGGTAGATGGTTGGACTCAATGATCCCAAGGGTCTCTTCCAACCTAGATGATTCTATGATTCTATGATCATCTAGCTTGCCTGCCAGATCCAACCTGAATGATTCTATGAATCTATGATCATCTAGCTTGCCTGCCAGGGGTCTAAAGTTTAGTTTGTGCAATGAGGAATTTTCTGGGGTTGCCAAAGACCTAGTAAAGACCTGCACGCCTTTTCCATCCTTACCTCTAACGCCGATGGATATCTTTTTTTGTCTTTGTAGAAACCAGAAGAACTCCAAGCAGACCTGGAAGCCGAGCAGGAAGCAAGGCTGGCAGCAGGTCAAGTAGCCGCCGAGGCAGCGACGCATCTGACTTTGACATTTCAGAAATCCAGTCTGTGTGCTCAGATATGTCAGAGACTGTTCCTGCTACAAGCAGACCGACACCCCGAGCAGGTTCTCGGCCAGGATCAGCCAAGCCTTCTAAAATTCCAACTCCCCAAAGAAGGCCACTAGCCAGCAAATTGGACAAGTCCTTGAAGAGATAATATGATTGGCTCCGTAAAGGTCTTTTCCTTTTGCGTTAAGTATTTAAGTTCATAAGATGTAAAATATTATATAGAAATTATTGTGAAATATCGCAAGAGGTGGATTTTTAATTCTGCAGATGGCCTTATTTGTGTATTTGTCTTCTTATTTTATGTGTATAATTTCTGTTCAGATTTGTTTCTGTTTATCCTGTTTATCCTGTGAGAAGGGGGAAGAGTTTTAATGTAAACTAACAGTTGTACACAGTGACGTGTAGAAAGTACACTAAAAATAATTGCCGAATGTACAGTGTACTGAATGTACAGTGAGTCTCTGCAACCTGAATAAAATAGGCCTATCACTATGACATTAGCTAACAGTAAAGGATACCTCATGATTTTTCTTTAAAAAAGAAAAAGAGAATACTAAAAAGCCAAAAGACACAATTACACATTTTTTGAGCTAACTAAAGAAACACTGAAGGGTGTATGGCAGAACTACTAGGGAATATGAACCCACAGTCACAGAACCCTTATTTATACAGTATCTCTCTGAGAACTCACCGAGTTAATTAAGCACTCGCCAGTAATAGGATAACTCCCATACCTTGCAGCATCTCTGTGCCATTGCTTTCAACGAGGCCAGACACATTCTGGATATCCCAACTACTATTCTGTAAGAATATCAATATAAAGTGCATTCATGTAAATGTGAGGTTTTCTTTTGCTTGAGTGGGCGGTAGCACTGTAACATCCAACTCATTTTGTATCAAAGCAATTTTGCTTGCAGAAAGCTCCGAAATAAACATGTTCCTTAACTTTATTTCTATTGTATTTCTTATTTCACAGGAAGGTAATTTTCTATGTTATGTTTTAGGATATATACAATTTCAGATGACCAATAACTACCATAGTAACATAGGCTTTAATGTAATTTCCCGTTATCAGCAATCCGATTTTGGTTAGCTACTGTATTTGTTTAATAAAACACTGAATTGCACATATATAATTTATGAAATTATATGTAATTACTGTGTGTCAACAATTATTTTCTCCATATTAAACGGGGACATTTATATACCATGTATGAAAGGCAGTAAATGGTGGGATCTGCGTTCCCTGCAGCGTTGCCAAGACGATGTTTTGTGAGTTGGTCACAAGAGCTTCCTGCAGACTCACAAGTCGACTCAACACAGTTGATGGGAAACAGAAAAACAAAATAATACTCCAAAGATAATTCAATCAATCCAAACCCAGTTTTGTGTCAGGATTTCCTCCAGCACAGAGTGGGGGTGTTTGTGGGACAGCTGGTTTGGGAATAGGCACACATGCTTCCCAAATGCTAACACATCAGTCTCTGCTGCAGTGCTGTATCATCTTTCCATGTTTCACCTCTCCTGGTGCTGTTTGTCCAGTGATTTCTTTCCTAGAACATTAACATACAGCAGGATGACTTCAGTGCTTTCTGGAACCCCGTAACACCCTGGGTTAAAGAGAAGTAGTCTGCATTTACAGACGGTCGCTGAAGCGTCTCTGCTCGTCAGCAGGAGGAAGGAAAAGGGCAGAATTTAGGCTCTTGCCCGGATAACCTGGCTGTAGGAGGAGGTGATGCCCCGTGTAACACCCTTGGTGCATTTTATAACCACGGGACTGATGGAGAAGGGGTGGGGATGGCAAATCAGAGTTGCTGCCGTGCAGTAGGTGCATAGCTCGGTTCCTTGTGTCCCAGGTGGACAGAGATTGTGCATGAGGTAGCGTTGGCAGCACCTCGTGTGTGTATTGAGGTCTTGAGCTTTAAATTTATGCATAATACTTCATTAATTGTGCAACTTCATGCAGTTTTCATGTTGCTGCATTGTAGCTTTACTGAAATATTAGAGCTGTGACCGGCTTCTGAGAAGCCCCACGTTGGCTAAAAGAACCCAAGCACTAAGGGGGTTTCTGTGGCTGCTGCCAAACAGGGGGGGCTGGGACTGGCAAAGTCGGGAGGTTCATGTATGGGCTTGAGAGAATCACCCAGTATCAGAAATCCCCTTAATGGTAAATTAAATGGGACTAGGAATTGTGTTTTAAAAAGCCCAAATCTTTCTCAAGATGTTATACCTTACTTAATTACCTTCTTCCAAAAATGATTTAACTGCTTTAGATTGATACTAAGAACTCCCAAAACTGAGGGACTTTCCAGAATTCTGTTCCCTGCATTAAAAAAAACCCAACCATACTGACAGAATTCGGATGATGAACATCAGATCCTCTGCACTTCCCTGACCTAAGGATGAATCTGCAGAGTTGGATGAAGAAGGCATATCGTGGGGCCTGCCAGTAAGTGACTGCCAGATGAGTTTTAGTGAACCATTTTTGTAAAGCAAGAAGGGGTGTTCATTTTCCATCCTCCTGTAATTCAAAAGCATTTGTTCTTTGGTACCAGCATAAATGAGAGAGGGAGGGTCAGCCCTGTAACCAGCTCCTACCTTGTTTGGTCGCGTGATTTTTTCTGTAACCGTTATCAAAGATGCATTTTCTCCCTTTTATTCTCCCCCTTCTACCAACAGGAATGGATCCTCGATGGACCCAGCCCGCAGGATGACTGTGAGTCAGCCTTTTCGTGTGGCCTGGGCTCCTAGAGCTGGATGTTCTTGGGTTCTCCTGGGCGGTGAAGGAGCAGAGGTGATGATGGGGAGGGAGGAAGGCTTGGAAAGCCTGTGGCTGTCAGAACCCTATTGTTTAGTGAATAATGTATGTATTTAGCACTTGGAAAAGCTGGCTCGGTTCTAGGCTCCTTTATTTTTCCAGCCATTTTGGGCTTGCTGCATTTCTGTTTTGTCGCCTTCGAAATGGCAAAGCATCCACAGAAATTTTGGAAAACTGCAGGTGAAACCTGTCAGTAAAAAAAAAGGCGCCGTTGGAAAAGCTGGTGGTGCCTTGTGGCCTCATCCTCACCTGGCTCAGGGATTTTGTGAGCCTCTTACTCACGTGCCAGTATAATAAATGACAGTAATTCAGGCTTTGCCTGTGGCACATCTCTTCACAAAGGTTATATGGAATCTTAATTTAACAATTAATGCATTTTATAACGCTGGTACCTGCTGTAGGATGGGTGAGACTGTCTGCACCCCACAGCCTGCAGGCAAGAGAGGGGCCATGGTACCTACGTGTGTTGGTCACAGTATGTGCCAAGAGGACACATCCCTGAGCACTTGCTGTAATGGTCACCACAGGGATGGAAAATAAGCATCACCTGCTTTGCTGCATCTCAGGACAGCTGCCCCAACGGCCGCCAGGTGTTCCCAGTTTGTAGGCTGTGTGGTAGCACCTGGGTTCGTCCTAGGCTGGTGGTATTTAGCTAGATGTTTGCTCTAGACGTGAGCCATAGCTGGGAGTGGTGGCGTCAGGAGGCTTCTGTCTTCGTGTAAGGTAAGAGGAACTTTATTGAACAAAGAAAAGGTTTTTTCCTGATCAAAGTTGCTCTCTCTGCTGAATTTGAATAACCTGTTTGCAGACAGGGAGGTGGGAGAGATGGTTGGTTTGGTTGCTTGTTTTATTATTAGTGTTGTCAGGTTAGATGCAGGTAAGCTCCTCATCTCTGCAGAAAAAAAGTTGTATTTGTTAAAAAGGGGAGCGTTGCAGAGGAAAAAGGGTCTCTTCAGAAATAATGGAGGAGGCAGCAGCTTACATTTCATGTAACTGGCATGAAAACGCTTGGTGGCTGCTGGTTTTGAGGTATTTTTTACTGCAGATTGAAGTCCTGTTCAGACTTGTGCAGAGTTCGGCTGTTGCAAGTGACGTGGTATCTGAAAGAGTCTTGGGGGGTTGTTGTTCCATGATTAAGTCGTTCTTCTGAACGGAAATTGTTCCAATAGTCTGAACTGCAGCTCGGGGATGCTCCGACTGCAGTTGATGGCTGAAGGAAAGAGTGCTGAAGGGGAGTTGTGTAACGTAGCTGGCATCCTGGGTGAGGACGTACGGGAAAGCTCATGGACGTGTTCTTAGCACTTGGATGATTGAATGTGAGTAAGAGCCCCAAACCATAAATCAGGCCCTGTCAGCATCTACAGTGGTTTTTGTTCCTCCGGGAGGAGGCAGCCAGAAGGATGATAGCTCTGTCCTGGCAGGAAAAGCTGACTTGGAGCTTTTTGTGGGGGTCACGATGGTCTTTCCAGCATTTAGAAAAATATCCGACACCATTACTTTTTTTTTCCTCTTTTGGGGGCTTTTTTTTCACAGCTCTTCCAAGTCCTCTTTTATTGGCAGCATAAAGGGGACCAGGGATCCATGGAAGAGTTTGCACTGTCTGGGCTATTTTTAAAGGCAATGAGTTCATACGATAAAGAACTACCTCTACGTTTAAAAGCCTGTGATCAAAGTGTAAGACAGGAAACAAGTCGGTTCAAAACGAGGATGAAGAAAATAAGCTTGTAAATGCTGCAAATATTGAGCAACTCCACTTTTGCTGATTGGAAGAGGGGGTGTAATTTCACTTAAAATCATGGAATGGTCCAGGTTGGAAGGGACCTCCAAAGGCCATCTAGTCCGACCTCCCCACAGTCAGCAGGGACACCCCCAACTAGACCAGGTTGCCCAGGGCCTCGTCGAGCCTCAGCTTGAATATCTCCAGGGAAGGGGCCTCAACCACCTCCCTGGGCAACCTCTTCCAGTGCTCCACCACCCTCACAGTAAAGAACTTTCTCCTCATCTCCAATCTCAGTGTGCTCCCCTCCAGCTTGAAGCCATTGCCCCTCGTCCTGGCACTGCAGGCCTTTGTAAACAGGCTCTCCCCAGCCTTCCTGTAGCCTCAGGTACTAGAGTACCCCCCTCAGGTACTAGAAAGGCTGCCATTAGGTCTCCCCGCAGCCTCCTCTTCTCCAGGCTGAACAACCCCAGCTCCCTCAGCCTGTCCTCGTGGCAGAGGTGCTCCAACCCCCTGATCATCCTCGTGGCCCTCCTCTGGACCCGCTCCAGAAGGTCCATGTCCTTCCTCTATTGAGGGCCCCAGACCTGCACACAGCACTCCAGGTGAGGTCTCACCAGAGCAGAGTAAAGGGGCAGGGGTGTCATCTGCAAACCAGCTGATGGTGCTCTCAATCCCTCTGTCTCTGTCGTTGATCAAAGTGTTCAACAGTATCGGTCCCAGCACAGACCCTTGAGGGACACCACTTGTCCCTGCTCTCCATCTGGACTTCAAGCCATTGAGTACCACCCTCTGGATGCCACCAGCCAGCTAGTTCCTTCTGCACTGAACAGTCCACCCCTCAAATCCATATCCCTCTGTCGGAGTGGGAGACGGACCCCGAGTAACGATGGAGCCTCAATATGAGGTGGATCGTTCTCTCTTTGTACAAAGTCTCTCCAGACAGGCAAGCAGAGCACGCGCCAGCGGTAGCTCTACGATTGGCTGACAATCTCTGTTCACGCGACTGGAGCGCTCACACAATCGGTGCAGACCCCTTGTCCACGTGCAGCAACATTCTCTCATCTCCTGGATGCCGTCCCGTTTATCTTACCTACCAAGTAGCTGCTGCTTCTTCCTTCTGCTTTTCCCAGGAGAGTTCACGGTCATCTCCAGGCCTTTATCTCCATCAAAGACTGGGTTGTTCCTCGCAATGAAATGGTGCCCCTTTTCACCCAGCCATTCCTCCACATCCCTCCAATATGGCAAGGAGGATGTTGTAGGGGACCGTGTCAAAGGCCTTGCAGAAGTCCAGATAGATCAGATAGATCCCATCCCCAGTCGTCCCTCTATCATAGAAGACCACTAGGTTCGTCAGGCAGGACCTGCCCCTAGGAAAGCCATGTTGGCTGTCCTGAATCACCTCCCTGTCCTCCATGTGCCCAAGCATGGCATCTAGAAGGATCTGTTCCATGATCTTCCCAGGCACAGAGGTGAGGCTGACAGGTGGGTGGTTCCCAGGGTCCTCCTTTCTACCCTTTTGAAAAAGGAGTGGGATGTTTCCTTTCTTCCAGTCCGCAGGGACTTCACCTGACCGCCACGACTTTTCAGATATCATGGCA